TGTTGAAGATTTTTGCATCTATATTCATGAGGGATATTGATCTGTAGTTTTCCTTTTGAATGATGTCTTTGCCTGGTTTTGGTATCAAGGTTATGGTTGCTTCATAAAATGAATTAGGGAGGAGTCCATCCTTTTGTATGTTTTGGAATAGTTTGAGTAGGTTTGGTGTCAGTTCTTCTCTGAATGTTTGGTAGAATGCTCTGGTGAAACCATCTGGGCCAGGACTTTTTTTTGTTGGTAATTTTTTATGACCTTTCCAATTTCTTCTTTTGTTATGGAATCTGTTCAACTTTTCCAAATCAGTCTGTGTTAGTTTAGGTAAGTGGTGTGTTTCTAGAAGTTTGTCCATTTCTTCCAGATTTTCAAATTTGTTGAAGTACAGTTCTTCATGTTGTTGTTGTTATGTGCCATCGACTCAGACCCAACTCACAGCAACCCCTCCTTGGGTTTCCGAGGCAGTATCACTGCGGAAGTAGATTGCCCCATCTTCCTTCTGAGGAGTGGGTGGTGGGTTTGAACTGCCAGCCTCCTGGTTAGCAGTCAAGTGCCTTAGGCACTACGCTACCTGATATTATCCTCTTTATTAATGTTGGTCTGTTGTGATGTTGACCATTTCATTTCTTATTCATGTTGTTAGTATTCTCTACCTCTTTTCCTTTGTTAAATTTTCCAGTGGTTTGTCAATTTTATTAATCTTTTCAAAAAACCAACTTCTAGTCTTGTTGATTTTTTTCTATTGTCTTTCTATTTTTTATTTCATTGATTTTCTGCTCAGATCTTTATTTCTTTTCTTCTGGTGACTAGGCTTTTCTTGCTGTTCTTTTTCTAATTGTTGGAGATGTTAGTTTAAAGTGTTGATTTTGGCTCTTTCTTGCTTTTTGATGTGTGCAATTATTGCTAGAAATTGGCCTCTGATCACTGCTTTTGCAGTGTCCCAGAGATTTTGTTATGTTGTATTTTCATTTCTCATTTAATTAAAGGAATTTTTTAATTTCATTTTTTATTTCTTCTCTTACCCAGTTGTTCTGAAGGAGGGTGTTGTTCAGTTTCCATGTGTCTACTCTTTTTCCGTTGATCTTCCTATTCTTGACTTCTAATTTGATGGCATTGTGATCTGAGAAGATGCTTTGCAGTATTTCATTGTTTTTAAATTTATTAAGGCTTGCTCTGTGGCCTAACATGTGGTCTATCCTGGAGAATGTTCCCTGTGCATTGGGAAGAAATATATATATTGTAGTGGTGTTGAGTGAAGTGCTCTGTAGATGTCTATAAGGTCAAGTTGGTGAATTGTATTGTTTAGCACTTCTGCATCTTTGTTGAGTATCTTTCCAGTTGTTCTATCTTTCATTGATAGTGGTGTATTAAAGTCTTCTACTATGACTGTGGAGTCATCTATTTGCCTTTCAACTCTTTTAAAATCTGATTTATGTATTCTGGGGCCCTTTTTTGGGTCCATAGATATTTATTATGGTTATATCTTCTTGTTCAGTTGATCCTTTTTAATCATTATAAAATACCCTTCCTTGTCTCATATGGTGGTTTTTGTCTTAAAATCAGTTTTATCAGAAATTAAAATTGCCAACAATGATAAATCATGTTATCATTTCCTTCGTTGGTGTTGTTTTAGTAGCTAAATATTTGTGCTTGTCCTCTTTCTTATTGTGACATGAAGGTTTATCATTTTTCTTTGAGGTTACCCTGTGATTTAGAATTTTCTCCTCAAGTTTATAACAGTACGTTCTATCTTGCAACTCTCTTGACTTCCTCGCCATTTAGAAGTTCTGTAACTATACTGTTTTTCTCTTCTTTTTGGTTTGTAGTTGTCCTCATTTGCCAGTTGATATCTCTGGTTCCCTGTTTATAATCTTGTAAGCTTATTTTACTTTGGATACTTCCATAGTTGTGTTGGTTTTTGGGTTAGGTCATCTTGTGCATTAATGGTTTGATTATTGTTTGCTATTACTGGCTGTCTGTTCAAAGGACTCTCTTTAGTATCTCTTGTAAGGTTGGTCTGGTTTTCACATATTCCCTTAGTTTCTGCTTATCTGGAAATCACCTAATTTCACCATCATATTTGAGGGACAATTGTGCCAGGTATATAATTCGTGGTTGGAAATTTTTCTCTTTCAGGGTTTTATATATGCCATCCCATTGCCATCTTGCTTGCATGTTTCTGCTGAGAAATCAGAACTTACTCTTACTGGTTTTCCTTTGTAAGTGACTTTTCATTTTCCCCATGATGCTTTCAGGATTCTTTCTTTGTCTTTGGTTTTGATGAGTTTGATAATGATATGTCTTTGTGATTTTTGTTTGAGGTCTATCCTGTTTGGGGTTCATTGAACTCCCTGAATAAATATATTCTCATCTTTCATCGTATCAGGGAAATTCTCTTCCAACAGACCTTGAACAAGTTTCTCAGTGGTTTTATTTTTCTCTTCCTGTTCTGGAATTCCAGTTACACATGAGTTATTCTTTTTGATGGTATTCCACATGAGTCTTAGGCTTTCTTCATTTTGTTTTGATCTGTTTTCTGATTGATCCCTATCCAGAGAAGTATTAAGGTCTTTGTCTTCAATCTCATTAATTCTGTCTTCCATTAATTCAATTCTACTCCTTTGCCCTTTCAATGTGTTACCTATTTCTGACAATTTAGTATTAATCTTCTGGATTTCTATCTGTAGATTTTTTATCATTTCTAATTTTTCATGTATTTTGACATTTTTGTTCCTATATTTTCTTCTGACATTGTTCTAGGGTTTTGTCTGTGTTTTCCTTAATTTTGCCAGTGTTTTCCTTGATCTGTCTCTCAGTCCTTTGACAGCACCTAAATATAATTCATTTGAACTCCCTATCAGGGACTTCCATGTTGCTTCTTCCTTAGGGATGTGTTTGGGGTCTGCATCCTGCTCCTTTGTTTCCACCACTTTATCTTGCTTCTTTGTGTGGACTGTGATGGTCTGTTGTCTCTGAGACATTGTGACATTGTTGTATTTGAATCTCTGTTAACTATTTTTGAGGAGCAGGTAAGGGTAAGTCAGGCTCTTCTTGGTGGTCCTTTATCGTTGGCCAGTTGGTGGAGAAGGAAGTGGTGGCTCTCACTCAGTAAGTGAAGCTGCAGGAGGTGCGGGTGTAGATGTGTCGTATGGGCACTGTTGTTGTCTCCCATTAACTTAGCCAAAAACAACAATTGAATAACCATCGAAAAAGTAAAAGCAAGTGGACAAAAACACATCGTGTAGACACACAAGAACAATAACCCAAAAAAGAAAAAAGAAAAGAAAAAAAAAAACCCAGCAGTATCTTCAGAGAGAGCAGTAAGATTAAAATGGTAGAGTAGGAGTGCTGATAGTGTAGTGCCAGCACTTGACTGCTAACTAGAAGTGTGGCGGTTCAAACCCGCCGGCCACTCCTCGGAAGGAAGGTTGGGCAGCCTACTTCCACAGTGATATCACCTCAGAAACCCAAGGAGTGGTCGCTGTGAGTTGGGTCCAACTCAGTGGCACATAGCAACAACAACAACAGGAAGATAATGAAGAAAAAAATGTGAAAAATGGAAAAAGAAAAACAAGGAATTGGTTTAACCATGAGAAAGAAAAGTATGGTAACCACGAACAGGGAATACAGAAAAAGCTTAAAACTACAACCTGGGAAGGGAAGAATAAAGAATAGTAATAAAATAAATGAAGGAATGAATGAGTGAATGAATAATTAACAATTTTAAGACAGACAAAAGCAAACTAAAATAACATCTGGGGTAGGACACCCAGTCCCCATCCAAGCACACAGACTGGGATGGAATTCCTGCTGGCCCAGAGGGTGGGTGGGAGTGAGGGATGGCTGCACCTCTGTTCACTAGGAGGGTGTGGGGTATAAGAGTAACAAGGGGAATGTCATAACTTTCTAGTCGTTGGTGTCTGGGATGTCCTTGTGGTTCTTGGCAAGTGGAGCCTATTCTTAAGTCCCTGGATTCTGGGAGAATGCCGTCACTTTAAATATCCAACATGGTCGAACCACTTGTAAACATTCATAATGACTACACTCTCCGCACAGGCTAAAGTCCACAGCTCAGCCCACCTTCTTCTTCACTGCTTCTTTTATTCTTCAGCCACCAGTGCAGTCCTCCTTGCAGGCCCTGGATAGGAGCCTATTTTTAGGTTAATTCTTAGGTCCTAACACCACTCAGCAATATCCAAGCTGTCTGTGACATCAGGATTGCTGCCAGACCACAGCTTTGTATGTCTCCTTTTTTGGTGTTTTCATGCAAATCCTTTTACTAGTTGGAGTTTAGTCCATTTCTGTATCTTTCCTCCAAAGCTCAGGGCTCCAGGATTATCTTCTGTCTCTATGTTAATTGGTTACCCTTTTGTGGAAGAGGGTCTGTGCAGTCTGCTTGCCTGTTCTGCCATCTTACCAGAACTCTCGAGTTTCATTGTTTTTAACTTATAACTTTGATAAGTAAAAGTTTTACAAATGGTGTTTTGTCTTATAAACTAGTCAGGTCACTTAGGATTTTATTTGGTCATATTTTTGTTTTTGCTTTGTTATAACCTTTCATCAGTATTTCCATATGTTTTTATCCTTTAGGGTATCTTCAAGAAGCCTACTTATGGACCAAACAAGTTCTGACCATCATGGAAAAATCTCTGGTCTTGCTCAGAGAGGTGACAGATGGCTCCCTCTATGAAGGAGTCGCCTATGGCAGCTACACTACTAGATCACTCTTCCAGTATATGTTTCTTGTTCAAAGGCACTTTAACATCAATCACTTCGGCCATCCATGGCTTAAACAACACTTTGCATTTATGTATAGAACCATCCTGCCAGGTGAGGAGCCAGAAATGGGAAAACATGAAAAGTATTATAACTTTTCCTGATTGTGAAGATGAGCAAGACTAGGAAAAGAAATGAGGTTCTATGGGTTTTAAATCATACTGAGATTAAAGATACTAAAAAATACAAAGAAGAATTGAATTCCAGAGTTGCGTATTTCCAGAGCATTTGGGGCACTAATGTGAGAATTTGTGATTTAGATATTGTAAAAGCTTGGAGCAAAATGGATCATATATAATTTCTAGCTCCCACAGTATTTTGACTTTTGCATATATACAAGCTCAGATACATATACAGACTCTCTTTTATGAATCTCAACAAAATGTAAGCATTTATGCTTACATTTTAATTTTCCTTTACATGTGATCCTCAATCAGTCCCTTTTTTGCTTTTAACTTTTCTTTCAAACAGTGCTTACATGATTCAAAAAGAAAGATTGTACTTACATATTTATGTTGAAGCTTTACTATATTCTTTAAATACTTGATTTAATTAAATATAAATTATAGAAAAGTAATTTTAAAAATTGCTATAAAACCTCTAATTTCTTGTTGCTGTGTAGCTTAGTCTTCTAATATAAAACTGGCTGTATATATATCTCCCTAACTAAGCCTAACAGGACCTATAACTCTAGCCCTAACACTAGCTGTTTCTTAAAATTAAATCTCAACCTAGCCTTGACGATAAACCTTAATGCTAGTCCTAATCCTAGCCCTCACTCCTAACTCTAAGCATAGTTCTAGTTCTAAAATTAATACTTTATATATACACACACACACACATATACATACATACACACACACATATATATGTACGTATATATATATAACTATATATATATATATATATATATGTATGTATATGTATATGTATACACACACACACTCTATCTAAAATGGTAGAGAAACCTTAAAAAAAAAACAACTCACTGCCATCAAGTGTTGATTCTGACTCATGGCGACCCCTTTGGGTTTCCGAGGCAGTAAATCTTTATAGAAGTAGATTGCCCAGTCTTCCTTCCATGGAGTGGCTGGTGGGTTTGAACCGTGAACCTTCTGTTTAGCAGTCAAATGCTTTAGGTACTACACCACCAGAGCTCCTTAGAGAAACTTTAGGAGGTAAATTTTTCATCAGGATGATTTTTTCTCCCTGGAGAAATGCAATTTTTAGCCAGTATTTTAAAAATCTTTTTGCTGTGGTTGTAAACACATGAATTGGTTAGAATCTCCATTGTTGGACCCCAAAAATACTGCTGAAGAAAAGAACTATTTTAGGATTTAGTTTAGACTTAATTTTGAAACATACTGCTTTATTGCTTAACATTCCAGAGAAGCCTGTTTTACAGTTCATCTTGGTAAACAAAGATTTTCTAAATCAAGAGACTTTTAAAAGGTCTCAGTGCTTTGTGATTTGAGCTTAGGTCTAACTGCCAGCAATATCAGTCAGGGCAAGGATCTGCTGCTGGAAAAGATAATATGAACACCTCTAAAAGGATTTATATATTTGTGTCAGTTAATTCCACAAACCTTTTTTAAACACTTCTTTATTGAACATCTGTGCTAGTCAGGGGATTTGAAGCTGAATAGAACACACCCTTTTGCTGTCAGGGAACTCTCAGACTAGTAGAGGATTTGGAAAATCTCCTTTTATAATGATTTACTTGGAAGACCATTTACCAAACTGTTAGGAGCAAAAACAATAGCTGTATATTACATAAATATATTTGTTGCAGCATTTTAGAATAGATTTCCATTTTAAGTCTGTCTATTCTCAACTACTCCTCGGAAGGAAGGTTGGGCATTCCTACTTCCGTAGTGATACTGCCTCGGAAACCCAAGGAGGGGTCGCTATGAGTCGGGGCCAACTCGATGGCAAATAACAACAACAACAACAATTCTCAACTACATTTTTTTCTTGGCTACTATTGGTATTATAGTAATGACTGGCCTAGAATTTTCTCTTAGTCATCTTTTTCAGGAACATCTAGAACATGTTCAGCTTTACCTGCTTTTCTATTCCTTCTTCTAATAGTAACACCTGGCATCATGGCCCTTGTGTTTTCCTTCTTTCTTTTTTTGTTACAGTTCCGGCAGTACATATTGGCAGAATATTCTCTGGGAATGATTAGGTTTTGTTCTATAGAAGTTCAGTTTCTTCTCTGAACCTTATATGCACTATACCTTCTAATTTACTGGAAGTACCTCGTGTTATTATTTTGTCCTAGGATGCAGGATGAGTTGGTGAGAGAACTACCACCCTTGCAGTAGTGTAGCCCATGTGTAGGGGTAAATCATTGCACGTAGCATGGACATAGGAAAATGAGGAACGTGGACAGTATACATAAGAATTAATAGGTGTGGCACTTGAATTATCAATGGCAAGTGGCCATATCAATGACATAGTAAATACAAATTTGCACTGAAGATTCATGAAAGACTTTCAGAGGAACTCTAATTAATTGATCTGAGGTGGAACATGGAAATTGTGTTTTTGTTGTTTTTATCCAAGATATACAATCGATTGCAATTTGGAATCAGGATTAACCTTTTCAAGATGGAATTATTTTCTGCTTTGAATTTTTTGTTGGAAATCATGTTAAGCAATCGAGGCATTTTGAATGAAATGGAAAAAATTTTTTTTGTGGTAACATGGATTCCAATACAATTAATGAGATACTTATGTCCTGAGGAGTCTCTGGTCCTGAGGTTGGTGGGATAAGGCCTGTTTGTTCTGATTCATCCAGTTAAAAGGCCCCCATCAGATGGTAACACACACTAAAAGTGGTATAGCAGCATTCCACTGAACCTCAGAGGTGGAAAATGTTAGGTGTGCACTATATGTCCCACAGGTCATGAAAAGGTTAAAGATCATCATTTATCTCTTTGTAGGCGTATGCAGTTTGAAACATTTCTTAACTCTCTCAACTTTTCCTCCTAGGGTTTCAAAGAACTGTGGCTATTGCAGACTCAAATTACAATTGGTTTTATGGTCCAGAAAGCCAATTAGTGTTCCTGGATAAATTTGTCATGCGTAATGGCAGTGGTAACTGGCTGGCTGATAGAATCAGAAGAAACCGTGTGATGGAAGGTCCAGGCACTCCATCCAAAGGGCAGCGCTGGTGCACTCTTCACACAGAGTTTCTCTGGTATGACCCGTTGGGTTTTGGAGAAATGGTACCCAGTAGCATGATTCATGTCATGTGCTACTTTTTGGCAACTTAAAATGAAAACTAATTTAAAACACTCTTAACCCTTTTTCCATACCACCCAAGTATATGCAGCTTCAATTCTGTTTGTATCACAGCATTTGAAACTTATTAGAAATATTTTATTATGTTTAAAATCTAATTACTGTTTGCCCTTTTGGTTCTTTTGTATTAGAGCTATCCCACACTTGGCCTATTTCAATAGATAAGTTTTGATTTACATCAGTTTTGGAATCTTATAAAGAGAAAACTACAAAAGTTAAACTGGATTATTATACCAAAAACAAAAGTGGTAGTAAAATTTTTGATAAATGGAATGTTATTCCATTACAAAGCTGTTACTAAATTTTCATAACTATTTAAGAATGTTTGACAATTTCATTTTGATAATAAAAGAGCCATGTGATTTTTTTTTTTTTTTTTCCTTTTAAGCCCACAGGGAGAAGCGTGGGTCTCCTTTTTTTAAGTAGTGCCAAATAGTTGTTGGCATCCAATAAGTAAAATCAGAATTACAGGGAACTAGCTCATCATTAATCAACCCCTGATGTCTTTTCAAGCCATATGAATTTGCATTCAATTCCAGGCTTTTTACAGTTTGATTCATTCTCTTTACAATAATTTAAACATTAAGGAGAAAAAAAATACTAGTAATGTGATAGTTTCACAGATGAACTGAATGTATTAATATACAGCAATTCTTGACTCTTGCAGGGGTTTGGAGTAATTGTTTTATAGTGTTCTAAACCTACCCATAAGTAAGCAACTAAGAGATTTCCATCAGAGTTAAGTATAGTGGTCAGATTAATACTAACCCTAATGTGGTTCACCGTCTGCCTTTACAGGAATATGGAAACAGAACAAAAACTGAGGGAAAGTTGACCGATTCAATTTGTACCTGTATTTGTTAAATCATATTAATTAAGCCAACATTATACTAGACAGGGAACTCTGGTGGCCTAGTGCCTAAGACATTTGACTACTAACCAGAAGGCTGGCAGTTCAAACCCACCAGCCACTCCTTGGAAGGAAGATTGGGCAATCTACTTCCGTAGTGATACTGCGTCGGAAACCCAAGGAGGGGTCGCTATGAGTCAGATCCGACTCGACGGCAGTGAGTTTGGTTTTAGTTGTTTATATACACACACACACACACACACACACACTAGACATAAGTAGAGACATAGTTTCTGATGTCCTAGGACTGAAACTCTAGAATAACAGGTGAAACAGCCAAAATCAAACATCAAGAAAATAACTCTATTTTGTAGAGTTTTTGAGAAAACTATGTAAGAACTAATAACATGGGTCAGCCTTTCTTCCCTTAAGCACCACATCATATGAATCTGTAGAGGCTGTTATGCCAAATCATCGAAGACAAATAATCATCTTCATTATTGTTTTAGGGAGCCTTGCAGATTCAGAAACCTGTGCTCTTAATCACTAAGAAAGTTTATTGTATCACTTTGATAATAAGCCACTTAATGTCCAAGGAGCATGACATCCCCTACACATTAAAAAAGCAAAACAAAACCTCTGGATCTGAGGTGGGCAGTGATAGCCACAATTATAGATCCCCCAAAACTAAATTAAACAGTTAATTAAAAAATGGAAATTCTACCCATTTATATTTTTAGATGGTACTGGCAATACATTTATCTAATATGTGGAGTTCTACCATATTTTTATTTAATTTTTATAAGAAAACAATACCAAACTTTCAGTAACAGAAGTTATTACAGTCCAATACATCAATAAATTCAAGAATCTAGATCCTTACATGGGTTCCCTAGAATAGGAGCCCCTCCACTAGAAGTTTGGACAAAGTGCTTAAATCTATGAGCCCCAGAAGTTTGGTACAGCACTAATCAAGTAAAGAAGGGTCCATGTGATGATTACATAAAAAACTATCTCAGGTTCAAGCCCAAGGTCACAACTCATAAAGGTATATATACTCTTTTCCCATTTATGAAGGCTTTTCCTCAGCTATTCTGATTATCAGTAGGTTTTTTCAGAATGGTCCCTAATAACATTCTATGTAGCCATTCTCTGGGGAGCATCTGTGTGTTATTTCTCCAGCCACATGCGGCATCACAGTTCTGATGTGTAGTTTTCACTTCCACCACAGTGAAATTTAATTTTAGAAATTGGATTCTTTCAGGTATGATGCCAGCTTGAAATCTGTTCCTCCTCAAGATTTTGGTACTCCTACACTGCATTATTTTGAAGACTGGGGTGTTGTGACTTACGGAAGTGCACTGCCTGCAGAAATCAATAGATCTTTCCTTTCATTCAAGTCAGGAAAGCTTGGGGGACGTGCAATATATGATATTGTGCACAGAAACAAATACAAAGATTGGATCAAAGGCTGGCGAAATTTTAATGCTGGACATGAACATCCTGATCAAAACTCATTCACTTTTGCTCCCAACGGTGTACCTTTCATTACTGAGGCTCTGTATGGGCCAAAGTATACCTACTTCAACAACGTTTTGATGTTTTCCCCAGCTGTGTCAAAGAGCTGCTTTTCACCCTGGGAGGGGCAGGTTACAGAAGACTGCTCATCCAAATGGTCTAAATACAAACATGACCTGGCAGCTAACTGTCAGGGGAAGGTGGTTGCTGCAGTGGAGAAAAATGGGGTAGTTTTCATCCAAGGAGAAAGTGTGGGAGCTTATAACCCCCGGCTCAGTCTGAAGAATGTTCAGAGGAATCTAATCCTCTTGCACCCACAACTTCTCCTCCTTGTGGACCAAATATACCTGGGAGAGGAGAGCCCACTGGAGACAGCAGCAAGCTTCTTCCATAATGTGGATGTTCCTTTTGAGGAGACAGTGGTAGATGGAGTCCATGGGGCTTTCATCAGGCAGCGAGATGGTGTCTATAAAATGTACTGGATGGATGATACTGGCTACAGTGAGAAAGCAACCTTTGCTTCAGTGACATACCCTCGAGGCTATCCCTATAATGGGACAAACTATGTGAATGTCACTATGCACCTTCGAAGTCCCATCACCAGGGCAGCTTACCTCTTCATAGGACCATCTGTGGATGTTCAGAGCTTCAGTATCCATGGAGACTCTCAGCAGTTAGATGTGTTCATAGCCACTAGCAAACATGCCTATGCAATTTACCTTTGGACAGGTGAGGCCACAGGGCAGTCTACCTTTGCACAGGTCATTGCAGATCGTCAGAAAATTCTTTTTGACCGGAGTTCAGCTATCAAGAGCACCATTGTCCCTGAGGTGAAGGACTACGTTGCGATTGTGGAACAGAACCTGCAGCATTTTAAGCCAGTGTTCCAGCTGCTAGAGAAACAGATCTTGTCCCGAGTTCGGAACACAGCTAGCTTTAGGAAGACTGCTGAGCGCCTGCTGAGATTTTCCGATAAGAGACAGACTGAAGAGGCCATTGACAGGATTTTTGCCATATCACAGCAACAGCAGCAGCAACAAAGCAAGTCAAAGAAAAACCGAAGGGCAGGCAAACGCTACAAATTTGTGGATGCTGTCCCTGATATTTTTGCACAGATTGAAGTCAATGAGAAAAAGATAAGACAGAAAGCTCAGATTTTGGCACAGAAAGAACTGCCCATAGATGAAGAAGAAGAAATGAAAGACCTTTTAGATTTTGCAGATGTAACATATGAAAAACACAAAAATGGTGGCTTAGTGAAAGCCCAGTTTGGACAGGCACGGATGGTGACAACTACTCACAGCAGGGCCTCGTCACTGTCTGCTTCATATACCAGACTCTTCCTGATTCTGAACATTGCAATTTTCTTTGTCATGTTGGCAATGCATCTGACTTATTTCCAGAGGGCCCAGAGCCTACATGGCCAAAGATGTCTTTATGCAGTCCTTCTAATAGACAGCTGTATTTTATTGTGGTTATACTCTTCTTGTTCCCAGTCTCAGTGTTAGCATTGTTGCTATAATTGCATGATCATTTTGTGATCGCAAGAGTCTATGTAAAAAAAGAAAAAAAAAATTGCCCTCATTTGTTATTGGATTTTTTTTCTCAGATACATTTTAACAAATTAAGGTGAAGATGATTTTCAGATAAGGATACAAGGACGTGGAGAAATCAGAATTGGAGCAAGCAGAGAATATATCAAAGGAATAAGAGTAACTGGGTAATCCCTTGGTGTTTCTGGAAGTGATTTGCTTTGTTAATATAGCAGGTCATATAATACCTTGTAGAAATTTTTTAAAAATCTGGTTTTTAAGTAATACGTTTTTCTTAAGAGAAACAAAAATGATTTAGACAGAATTGGATTTGATTAATCTTTATTTAATCATATTAGCAATTTCCAGATGCTATTTTCTGGAAAGGACTGAAGCACAGAATTCTAAGAATACAGATTTTTTTTTTTTTTTTTTTTTGATGGTATAGTCATGTTGAAAAATAAGTGTTGCTAAGTCCTGATCTGGTGGTGTGAGTTTCCTTAGAGAAGTTGTGCTTCATTAAATGCACAGGATCTTATTGATTTGTTGTTCAGATAATGTAGTAGAAATGATGACAGGAGATCGTTGAAAACTCAAAATACATTTCCAGTAGAAAACATTTCTATGAATGTTTTGTTTGATGCCAGTCTCTGCCCACATTTCGTTGATTGCTCTTATCCATTCATCATTTGTTCAGGAAGTCAGGCAACGGCAGATCATTTTGCATTTTCCTGATATGGAAAACTATTCCAAACCTAATGACTAAAATAAATAAAATATTTTATAACCTGAAGGTTGATGTCAATACCAAAGAAGATGGGGAAGCTAAACTTCAGATATGATTTTTATGTTTTTTTTAATAGAAAACTTTTCAAGTTTATTTTGCTAAATAAACATTGTAATTGTGACTTTCCTGTAGTGTCTTTCTCTTTTGTTACATTACTTTCAAAATGTATGAGTTTTTTTCTGAAATCCTTGAAGAGAGATGTTTATTTAGACATGCATTAATTAAACTTACAAAGTAGTGTTTGAATCAAAGCAAGTAACTTCTCTATTTGTTTTACCTTTTTCTTGTTTGGACATTTAAATCTAAAACTAACTTTGGATATTTAAGTAACACCAAACTTAAAAACAGACAGTTTTCATAGTTATTTTCATATTTTCATAGTTGTTTTCAATCAAATCCTCAGGAGATAACAGCAACATAGAGTTCTGGAAACATATTTCAACAGTTTACCTGTGAAAGCTGGAACCTGTGTAAGGCAGAAACCTATTAGAGAAGGAAAACAAGTGTTTTCCACTAACACAAGCAACAGCAAAGTGCTCAGACTGCACCCTGTCAGAAGTGGAAAATCAGTGAGACCTGGAGAAACAAGACAGTCTCGTTGAGTTCCAGCTCACACAACCGTTCAGCATAAGAAGTTGATCTACTTCAAAGGAATCTGAAAGTAAATTACATTGAACGTATTTGAATCTTTAATATATTTCTCCCCTGAAAACAAAATATGCTTAGCTCAAGTTTTGAAAAGTAAGGATAAATTCACAAATTTATAAGTCTAAAGTAAGAATGATGATCTTTCCCTGTTTTGTTCATAGAAATACTAGTATGTAACAAAACACAAGAAAGGGAGAAACTCTTACGAGCATCTTTTTGCAGTTCCGATTTATACTTTCTTTAAAAAAATGTAAATTTGGCTTTTAACTGTGCTGCACTCATTACACTCGAAATCTAGAAAATGACTTCTGAGGAAGGTTGTTTTTTTGTTTCATGTAAAAAATCTCTGGGGAGGATGTCATTACACACTGTTGCAAAGAATAATGTTTTCAAAAGAATAATGCTTCCGTTTGTCTTGCATGGATGCTCTTAGTGGGATTTAAACTTGCTTTATGTGACAGATTCTCCGTTTACTTAACCTCATTTGACATTCCTCTCTTCTACTTTTTCTCATTCAAAAGGATGAATTGTCTATGATGATCAAAAGGAAATTTTGGAAAAAAAAAAAAGTAGGGGGGAGGGAATTACACTTTGAGGCTACTAAGCAAACCTGATCTCAGATCCAAAGCTCAGACCTACTTTCTAATGGAGATGAGAAGTGAAAGCAAACACCAAATCCAACTTCTTGTTTTCATGAGCTTAGGACCAGGTAATAAATTACTCACCATAGTATGCTCCAATCTAACGATTCCCTCATTTTAAAAGTAATTTTTAAAAGGATGATAATCATGTGTCTTTGAAACAAGATGAATGAAAATTATGGATATTTTCCGCCTTTGAGTGTCCCTGGTATTTATTCCAGTTAAAAATAAATTTCTACAATGGCAATGGCTTAAGTGGTGAAGTAAAAGGGGAAAAAAATGCTAAATCAAATCACAGCCTTTCAAAGTGAGACATGTTTTGTATCAGGGATAGTGCGTATTTGAGTAAAACTAAGGAACTCTTTGTATCTTCGAGAAAACCAAGCGATGTTAAATCTTCCTTGAAACTGAGTCATCAATTATGGAATCTGTTTCAGTGGTGCTCACTATGAAAGGAGTGTTTGAAGTTTATTGGCTAATATGTGAGCTGTCATTCTGGAGATTGGCAGGACTTTCGGTCCTAGCCTTAAAGAAAATTTGAGAATCATTAGTATAAAGAGCTTGTCTGTGCATTGAGAAATACTGAATGTGACAGATAACCTTGTTTGTAGCTGACTAGCTTAGAAACAGCCACAATGATGTATCAGACCTGCCTTCTGCTAAGAGATCATTCTTTTGTGATTCATAAACCCAGGTGGAAGACCCTATTCTGAGACTGTTTTAATAATTGAAATGTCTTCTATCATCTAGAATACTGAATTCTTCCACAATGTTTTCACCATCATAATTTTTTAAAGAATAACATGTTCTAAGACTACTGGAAAACATGTTTTAACAAAATATCATACACACAGTTTTAAAATAGAAAAATATTACATTATGATTTATTTTGTTTTTAAAAAAATTCTTAATAATTCACAAACCTCCCACAAAGGAATCTGAAATTTCTCCAGCTTTGAAAAAGAAAGCAAGTTATAAAATACACATTTATAAGTTAAAAAATAATGCTATTTTTCCCCAAGAAATATTTAAGTGGATGTAATCACAGGTAGGAAGGCCATGCAGTTTATCTTCCAAAGTGGGACACTTTCGAGGACTAAAGGAGGAGCAATTAATAATTACTCTTGAAAAACATCTAAACCAGGGACTGTACTAGGCACACTGGGACATGCAGTCATCTTTCTCATAGGTTAACTCAGGAAATCAAAGGGGTCAGTGAGATGTATTGAACCTCAGTTTCCTCATCAGTAGATTCAGGGGCTTGATGAAGTCATCTCAGGTTCCTTTTTTAACACTAAACTTAGAAGTCAAGTTAGACCTTCACAAAACCAAAAAGCCAAACCCACTGCTATCAACTCATAGTGACCCTAGAGAACAGAGGTAGAACCACCTCTTCGAGTTTCAAGGCTGTCATCTTTATCACGCAAAATGGCTAGTGGTTCGAACCTGTAACAATGAATGGATAAAATACACCTCTATTGCTGAGCCAGCATGAGAGCCATTGTCACCAGGTGAGGAATCAAGGGGACATGAATGGGAGAGAGAGTCCCTGTGTGTGTGTGAAGTTTTGAAAAATCCCTGGGGTGGCTCTGGTAGCCCCCATATCCTACACACACACTCCAGGGGAGGATTCCTACCTAGTTGGAAGTCACTGCAAGCAACAGGAGATGTTGAAGAATTATTATTATTTTAAATAATCAGTCTTGCATTTTAGAAATAATTTAAGTGTAGAGTATGGATCCAATTAGGCAGTTTCCATGGTCTAGATGATGAACTCTTTCACAAAGTTTAAAGTGGGAATATTTAAGGCCCAGCTCACATGCAAAATGTGGCCTGAGGGTGTATATTTTGTGAAGGTATTGTTCAGAAAGATGATGGATCAGGGGTCCCTAATGTGTCATCGAGTCCCATTGTAGGTAAGCACAGTTGTCTGCCATGGGTCTGCCCCAGGCATCCCAACTGCCCCTTAATAAACACAGGAGCTTGACCAAATCTTCCTGCCATTTCTATTTTCAGGGTGCCTGGTTCAAGAACTTCCCCTACCTTGGCATGACTAGGGCATAGGGTGTATAATGACAAGCAGTGGGAAATGAGACTAGAAAGGTAGATTGGGTGAGAGGGCATCACTTTTTTTTTTTTAAGTTCCAATTGTATAAGCAGTTTGATTAACCCAGGCAGTTGGACTGCCTTTTAAATCAGAAAAGTAAAAGTTCTGCTCCGTCTGCATGCCTCTGGATTGGGAAGTCTTTGTCATGAGACTTTTCTGTATTATTTCAGTGGTGAGCCCCAATGGAAACACTAATGGTTTGAGATGGGGCCTTGAGGCTTTGGTGTAAGGTAGAATTTCTTAAGGCAAGAGCTTCTAAAAACATTCCGATCAGCCCAGCACATTCCAAATTAAACAATGAGAAGTGTTTTCAGTACATAGTTGGGAATTATTTTCTGAACAAAAAAGTTTTCAATGGTTTGGACATTTTCTTTCAAAGATGGTAATAACAGGATGCTGGGAGTGCCTTTTTTGGTGAAAGAAACATCTTGTCAGTTTCCCTATTTTTCACTTTTCAGCCTTTGTTGTTTTATTACTTTTTTATTTTGTCCAGGGTTAGAGACCTTCAGTAAAATAGAGATGCCTGTGTATTGGCTTATTGTGCAAAATAATCTTCATTTCTTGACTCCTTTACCCTGATCTCTGAGCCATTTGTCTTATTGACAGAAGGAAGGATGCACACCACTTATTAGCGTCCTGAAGAGAATTCATGGAAAACTATGTATTTAAAGCTCTGCATTGTTGATGCAAACAGGACTCAAAAGGAAAATGTGATTGTTTTGAAAGATTAATTTACAGGACTTTTAGCACAATTGAAATATTGATTGCAGTACCAGCTTAAAACTGGTGGCTCTTGGGTACTCACACTTAGAAAACATAATACTGAATACTGCTGTTCGGTAGCTCACACTTAGGAAACACAAGGAGATAATACAAATAACTATCCTGTCTGTCTGCCCCACCAGACTACACTCCTTGTGAGTAGGGATAGTGCCTCTTGTTCACTGTGTATATACACACTAGTTCTTAGCCAGTACCTGGCACATACTGCATATTCATAACATGTTTGATGAATTGATTGGTGGAATGAATGAATGAAAGGAGTGCAGATGGCTGTGATCCCAGAAGACCTTAATAGAGAGCTCTAGCTCTGACACTGGGATAACATCACTAACCTTGGCCCTGATGGATGCTCTGACTAGATCCTGGAGCTGTTTCAACACTGTCAACTCCAAGTTCTGTGGAGACCCTAAAATTCTATCTCCAGGGCAGAGCACATGTGAGTGACAGATGTTAACAAGGCACACAAACAGCTGTAGTGTGGCTGTTATATATGGGGTGGTCCCAAGTGGGATGGAGAACCCAGATGCCAAAGCATAACTTAAAATAACACACCATCTGTGTGGGATGTTGTAAACTACTGGTAATCAACAGATTGTTGCTAAGCTTCAGTAATTGCCCATGAGGAGGACTTAGAGTTCATGACATTGTGCAATCCAGAAAGCAAGGCCACACCAACACAGCAGACTTTCTAGAGAACACAGGACAATGTGGTATGGGTGCAGGGGATGAGCACCCATATGCACATGGGGCTGGTAGGTTGGTTATTCAGCTGGCTTTGCAGCCACACCTGCACACATGGAGAATCACACCATGGCACCTCAGAGTCGACTGAATTTCCTGAGAAAGATTCTGGCAAGGAGGGTATCTCATATAAGTTACTGCATGTTTTCCCTACCTCTAAATAGAGTTTCTGTGTTGCCTGTTGGATGTTTTAAGAGCTTTATAG